TGCTCTAGGAGGTATATTTAATGCTTGTAAGAACCTAAACCAATCTTCTTGTCTTTGGTTACTACCTTGAATCCATGCAAGACTATCTCTAATTCTTTTAATGTGATTACTCATTTCTTTTAAACCGGATTTAACAATTAAATTGATTACATGACATGCACAATGTTGGTGGAAAATAGTACCGTCACCGAATAGACTTAAATCATTTTCAAAGAATTCAATTACTTTTGTATTGGCACTAGCATTATCTAATGTTATAGCCATTACTTTATCTCTTAATCTAAATTCATCAATTACATTTAAAATTGTGTTATATATTAAATCCGCGTTATGTGATCTTAGAACACATTTAAAACTGAATATTCTCTTATCTAAATCCAATCCTTTAAAGTAATGTCCGGTTACAGCTAAATAATCTTTATTGGCAACGGCAGACCAAATATCTGCCGTTAACGCAACGCACCCGCTAGTCGAGTGTAAAAGGTTTATTAATGCATCTTTTTCTTTTTTAAATAATTTTAATAAATCTTTCCTAAGAGTAGTTTTTGAAGTGAACTGTGCATTAGGATTGTGTACAACCTTAATATATCATTGCCAATTAGGATGCTCTACAAAACTAAGTGGTTGATCTAAAGCAGCTATCATTCGCGCAACTTCCATACGATCTACTTGCAGATCGTATTTCCAAGTGGTTAGACCACTGGCTGCGCGATCAAAAGATAATTGTGATTGGCAGAGTTCGGGTCCGCTAGATTGGCTAAGCTTTTGAAGACACTTTTCGGAGTGTCGTCTCAAGTGTATGGTGCCGTAAATAGTGTCACCTTGTAATTTAGATAAACAATATTTACACTGAGCTATATGTTTAGTGTTACCTTCATTATCCACCTCGTCAATTATGTCGAAGTGATCCCAAACTGTCGAGGTACGCTTGCATTTCCTCTTGGAGGTTGCAACACTTACCGACGCAGTCGCACTCGCCGCTTCTCCACACGCACCACCACTATTGCGACCACAACCTCCAGTACGTCCACCATGGCTCAGATTAGTAGATTCCTGCGTAACAAACTCATTAGTGGGAAATTGCCCTTCTTCTACATTGTGTTGGGCATTAACGGGAATACCACTATAACTAAAAGGATCCATTATAAAAAAATAAGATGGATTTGAGAGAGAGAGAGCTTTAGGATAATGTGATAGTTTTTAGAAAAATTGTGAGAGAGATTGAGAGAAATTGAGAGACATTGAGAGAAATTGAGAGAGATTTAGAGGGATTGAGAGAGTTTGAGAGAGTTTGAGTAAGAAAAATGTGTGGGGGATGGGGGTTATTTATAGGAAAATTTTGGGGTTACAAAATGATTTTTTTTTTTAAAAAATCGGGATATAACGGCTATTTTTGATTTTCGGGCAGTCGGGCAACTCGGGCAGTTCGGGCAGATCGGGTTTTCGGGCATAATTAGGGCAAAAATTTAAAAAACTAGCCGTTTCGGGTAATTCGGGCAGTCGGGCACCTCGGGCAGGTCGCGTTTTTAGGCAGAATTCGGGAAAAAATTCAAAAAACTAGCCGTTTTCGGGTAATTCGGGCAGTCGGGCAACTTGGGCAGTTCGGGCACCTCGGGTTTTCGGGTAGAATTCGGGCAAAATTCAAAAAAGTAGCCGTTACGTGCATTCGGGCAGTTTCGCGCAGTCGGGTATCGGGCATTTTTCGGGCACTTCGGGCACACGGCATTTTCGGGCATTTTTCAAGTCAGGCAATCCGGGCAGTTCAGGCATGGTCAGAAAAATTTAAAAAAATTCCGGTGGACGGCGGTAAACGGCGATTAGACGTCGGCGGGCAAAGGAGAAGATGCAAAATTCGGGCTACCCGAGCCCGAACCCGAAAATCAAATTTGGGCGGACAGAAAATGGGCTTGCCCGCCCGAGCCCGAAAAAATTCGGGCTTCGGGCAGCCCGCCAACCCGAACTTCCAGCACTATTTAAAACTCTTATTTAGAATTGTTCTTATTTTTATTTTTTATGTTTTTTTTAAAAGTGAAAATAATTTTAAAATGGTAGTTGACATAATTAAATATAAAAACAGAAATAAAAATAATTTTTTAATTTAGTGTAAAATAGAATAAAAATAAATTAATCATTTTTTATTTTTTATTTTTATTTTTTCCTCTCTCGAGCAGAGAGAGAAAAAGACATTAATGATTTTTTATAATGAAAATAATATCTTGATAAAACTACCAAACTAATTTTCAAAAATAATTTCTGTCTGAGATTGAAAACATTTTCATTTCTATTTTCATACAAAAAATAAAATCATTTTAGAACGAATTCCAAACCCACCCTTAAGCTTCGTTCATTTGACCACTTCGCATTTTCAATTCTAGTTAAAAATTTTCTCAAAAGTCACATCTTCCTTTTTCTACTATAGTGAAAAGCTCTCACATAAAATCACATCTTAGCTCGAATTAAAAACTCAAATCCTCGAATTGAACGGGGCCTTAGGCCTTGTGAGAAAATTCTTACTTTGTCTCTAAACTTTGAATTGTTCTCACTTAACTCATTTTATTCTAATTTTTGTTAAAAACTAAAAGAAAAAAGAGAGTAATGCAATCCGTGGTGTTTCTGTTTGAATTTCTGTTATACACAAATATATAAGAACCACATGACAACACTTAACCTCTTTTTTTATGTCTAATTTTAACAAAAATTACAACAGAAAGAGTTAAGTGAGAACAATTCAAAGTTTAAGAGGTAAAATGAGAATGTTTATAATTTAAAAGTAAAATGATTTTGTTTTTAATAAAAAGTAAAAATGAAATTATTTTGAGAAATGAGAATCGTTATGGGATTGATTCTGAAATTGCATTTGGTTGGTTTTTTAAAAGACTGTTTTGAGTATAATAAAAAAGTAAAATCGTGTTTAGTTATAATTATTAATTAATTTATTATAATATTGTCGATAAAATCCTTTAAAAATGTAAACAGAAAAGTGAATAACTTTCAACTATTTTCTAATTTCTTCACAAAAACCATTGTCACTGCTTTCGTCTTCAAAAT